GAGAGAGAGAGAGAGAGAGAGAGAGGTAGACAGGAAGAGAGCGAGATGGAGAGACAGCGACGAAGACAAAGGAGTTTGACTGAAGGTAAAAAAAAGAAAGAAGAAGAGGCATGATGTAAGCCTCGAGGAGGTGCCAGCAGTTTGTGTGTGTCCCCTATTTGTGCCAAGCAGAGCTTTAATTGTGCACCACCCCGGGGCAAAGCCCAAATCACACCGGACTTTGAAATGACAGCTTGATAGGATTTGGACAGCGGAGGAGAGGGGAGGGAGGGGGAGGGAGGGGGGTAGGGGCAGAAATCAAGTTCAGCCTGCTGTTCTCGATGAATCTTTACAGCTTCTGGACGATATCGTTTATTAAATATCGGTCCACCTCGCTCACTGAAATGAAGAAATGTCGCAGAGGGAGGCAAACGGGCCGCTTTGTGATTATAAAGGGGGCTGTTTAGAGGAGTATTAATCATGAGCAGGATTGCAGAGGAGCTGTTAGCTTAATGCACTTGCTGGAGCACCAGTGAGGCTGGCAGACAAAGACAACTCTAATGGCGGCTTGTAACTGGATGTTAATGTAATTACTCCCTTTGCTTTCAAAAAGATTAAAACATTCGGCAATCGGCGCTTCGCTTTTGAGAAAAACCTTTCAAGTGGAATATCAAGCGGCAGGAATAGAAAGCCATGTGCCACGGAGGGCTCAGATTTCACCAATGCTCCATCAAGTAGTGGGAGAAACAAACAAGTGAAACACCCAGCTGAGGTGGAAGGTTGGACTGAAATCTGCAGTGGCCCACGATTCCCCCTCCCTGTCACACACACACACACACACCCACGTCTGAAACAAATATGGATTTAGAGCTACATTGGGTTTAGACACCATGTGGACAAAAGTACACAACAGTTGCATTATTTTGTGTATTTCCAAAGTTGTAGAGAAGTTTGTGTACAGCTGTGTTTGATTTCTCCCCGGACAAAACAAGGAGCTAGTGGGAAAGGTTATGAAGCTGTTGACGTCTGGCCCAAAACTAATTCAACAAATGCAAAATGGATAAATAAAGAAAGTAAATACCTTAGTGTCATCCACAAGACAACTGAAAGCACATACTGGAATTGTAACATCCTGAAACAGCACCGTCCACGTGTCAGAGACTCATATAGACACTTTCTTTAGGCGGAGACAAGGCATCTTTAGGGGGAAATATCCATCCAACAGCATTAGCCACATAGAAGTTGTGAACATCATCTGAAAGCTGGGAAGCTTGTTTTAATTAGCGCTGCAGCTCAGCACTGTTTATTACACAGAACAGCTGATGTTAATCTTTGCATCCAATTGTTTTTTCGTCACTCCCGAATATCTGCAGTTCTGATCTTTGTGCATGTCTGTGGGGAGCGACGAGGTCTGAAGTTTCTAAGTATTTTTTACTCAAACTAGAAAGGTGCGCTCAGTAGAGAGGTTACATTGCTGAGTAAAACCCATCAGTGGAATAATGATGTGATCCCTGACAATATGTCCACCCATCCTGCATACTCAACTGCTGCATTGTTCACGTGAAACTTTTTCTAGGAAGCAAGCTGTTGAGGGCTTTACTGAGTAAATCATCCTGATGGTCTGATGTCTTGCTCCTGATTTGGGACAATACCTCTATCCATCCTCCGTATCTCTACGCATATTATCTATGAGCCCCATCTACATCCAACTGTTGCATCCAACCGGCCTTGTGAACTTCAGGCGATGGGAGGATGACAGGTTTTCTGACAGCACTTGTGCCGTGTGGTGCATCCACTGCAGCGGATGGATAGCTTGCCAGCAGAGATGCCAGCTTGAGTTGACAGCCCAGCCACGGGCTGGGTGGATGCCTAGGTGCCCCCCCCGGTCCACTGGCAAGAAGGTGGCGAGTAGTAATGAGGATCTGGAGACTGGCTCCGACCACACACACTCACACACACACACACAAACACAAACCTACTGACAAACGCCAACAAAGATGGGGGGCTAGAATACAAAGCCACAAACTAAACGATAACACAAGCCAAAATATGATAAAGAATCTTCTGAATCAACGACACAAAGCAGCATTTGTACTTCAAGCTGGCAGATTTTTGACAAAAACAAACTGCAACAAACTCCGTGACCACCGCTGAGCCCGAATCAAGTAAAACAACAACATGACAGTATGGTTGAGTTCATGTAAGTCACAAAGCTGTAAATGAAAATGTTCCACTCTGCTGTGAGACACAGAGGTGTGAGATGACTTTCTAGGAAGTCATATTGACAGATTTTAATGAAGCATGTTTTCTTACGAAAGGCCACATAACTGATGGTTTGCAGCCAATTCATGCTTCGTCTTCTCCGCGGTGTGAATATTGCTGTTAGGAAGCGTGATGAGAGTGACAAACAGGTTAATTACATTTGTGATATATTTTAATTAGTAAGAGGAGTTTGCTAGTCATGGATTGGCATAAATTAGATGGAAGTTTGGGCTAAGATCACAGAGGAAACAATAAAGTTTGAAAGACTTTCTGCGCTTCTGTACCGCAGATGAAATGAATCAAATCTAAAATGCAAAGTGTGCAAGGAAAGGAACTGCTGCGTTTTATCCTTAACTTGGGAAAATTCAAAGCTGGAGATAAAAATGATGATTTCAGTTCGATGGGAGTCTGAGATTAGTCCAAATTTATTTGCATATGAAAATGAACGTAAAATGTTTTATTGGGTTTTATTGGGCGACATCATCACGATTTAAGATGAGGTTTCAAAACGAGGAAAAACTGCCACTAAACTCTTAACTCATAAGAGAAAAGAAATTGGGAAATTTGGAATACAGATTCAGGGACCCCATTATTGATCCATCTGATAATTATTTTTTACAATAATTGAGGCATTTTGTCAATAAAATGTCAGTAAAAAGTTCAACCATCGATCCAAAACCCAAAGATATTCTGTTTAAAATGATATAAAAGAAAAACAGCCACTTCTTACAGAATGCTTTGAATTTCCACTTTAATTAATCGATTATCAAAATAGTTGCCAGTTGTTGTCTTTTGCCATTTTAATCGATTACTCCACAAATCATTTCAGCTCTAAATTAAATCTAATAATCTAATACAGGCGGTACAATAACATAGTTTAAGGAAATACTAACGAAATGTATTTTCTCTTCTCACTGCGTACCTGAACCTCAAAACCATCTCTCCTACAAGTGTCTTTCTAGTTACATTGAAATGGATAATGATAAAATAAATAGTAGATTTCTGCCTCTGCATCGCCCAGCGTGACTTTGTTTTGTCATGATAAGATGAGGCTGACATCTCCCTCACTGCTACTCTCTGCTTGGTCCACTATGTGGTGCTTTAGCGCCGCCTATCACTGTATCATCTTCTAACAGGGGTGATGTCAGTGGAGAAGCTTTGCCAAAAACCCGTCTACAACAAACAGATTGCTTTGCACACACACACACACACGCAGAGAGTGCTCGGCCGGTACTTGCTGTTCTAAAGCTTCGGCAACTGACATCTGCATTTTTTTTAATGCAAAAACATCATCTTGGGATGCAGCAGCTTTCTTTATCCTTTGTTTGATCCGTTATGACAACAAATATCTTGACGAAGCGAGCTTTAAAAGCATGGCGGCTCCTGCAGTGCTGCCTCCTGATCCCGACAGAATGGTTTCGTCTCATGGCTCTTTGAGCTATCTGTGTAAAGGCTCAAGAGTCAATTAGGAGCACGGGGTCCTTAGTAACACAGTATTATTAGAAGCAAACAGATGCAGCTTGGGGAACAAAAGTTGATCAAAGTGGCCTTAAAGGCTGTAGTAATTAGGAGCAGGGACCAATGAGAGCATGTCGCTATTTACGCACGCTATGTCTACTATAAAGCAATCCCCCACAGGTACATGGCATTCATGTCTGAGGGGACACAGCGATCACGCTGTCAAGAGACCAAGTTTACACCGAGAGGACCATCTTTGTTTGCATTGCATCTAAAATGTAAACCAGACTTAATGTCACTAAAAAAAGTGTGCTATTTTCTCAAAAAGGAGTTTAAATCACGAGGGCAGAAAAGATTTATCTATAAGCCAGTGATTAAATGGCCTGATGCCAAAAACATCTGCCCTCACTGCTCTGCTCTGCTCTACATGAATAGTATTTTTTTTAAAGAAAGCACGCATCATTCCATTTGAGCAAAGCAAACTATTTACCATTTTTTTTCATTAAGCACCTGTTGAGAGCACAAGTGACCTTGTTAACTCCTTTGGAAACCTTTCATGCCAATTAGCAAGGTCTGGGTAGAATTCATTTTTTCATAATACATCTAACATCCAGCTGCACGGTTCCATTCACTCAAGGTTGGGTTTAGGGTTATTTGTCTTCTCGGGACTTTTCAATTGCAGAAAGCATAAAAGAGGCCTTGATACAGTTCCATCAATGCCATTAACACACAAACACCAGAGTGCTGTGTTCACAATGGACGCGGTAATCATCACAGTATAAAGTAGCTCACTTTGGTTTGAACTAGTCCCGCCTTCCAAGGCATTCATTTGTGATCAAGGAGCTGCTTCACTTCACATATTGGTGGATTTGTGAAGCCAGAACTCCACCATGTTTCCACCAAAATGTCTAAATTGAGAGTTTATGAACCTTGAGGTGCAAATGAAGCAACACGGGGAGCAGACGGGGTCATTAACGCAGACTTATAACTCGTCTTATAAGTCAAGCTTTTTCTATTTATGTTGGTATTTACTTGTTTTCTGTACTGTAGTGTCCTTGGTTTACATGAAAGGGGCTTCAAAATCAAATGTATTAGTAGTGGTAGTATTTTTAGGACTAACACTGAGATCAATTTAGACCCTTCTTCTATGCGAGTATGCAACATATCTTTCCGGTTAAAATGTTGTACCACAATCTATTAATGTAATTGGAATATACTTAACTCTGACTCACTGCACCAACTAACAAACTGTCAATATTCAACAAGAATCGTGCAGTGACTGAGCCCACCTTGTTTCCCCCGTCGTGCATGGCCCAGCCCGTGCGCTTCACTCCAAATGCAACATGCGAGTCGGCGGCATCCAGACAGGTAACAGGGTGACCGTAGACCGAGTGGAGCGTCCGTGGCTCCTCCTCCCGGGGGTCTAACAGGTGCACGGCATCTCCAGCTGCCAGAGCCGCCAGCGGGCACTGCTGCCCTCTGCCTGGCACCAGAACCAGGCTCTCTACCTGCCATGCAGACGGAGATGGAGGCGCACTTTACACATACAGCAGAAAGAAGTGCAGGGTTTCACTCTCTTATGCAGTTGTGGCTTTGCCTGATGTCCAAATGAATTATGTCCGAAACTTAGTTCAAAAGGATTTTTTTTAATATTTTTATGAAATAGGTTATTTTTATAAACAAGAATTTCTATTAAAATGTTTTCAGTTTCTCATGAAGTCATAAATTCTACCATTTACACAACAATTTGGAACTGAAGATGGTTTTCATAATCAATTAATTGTAGTTTATAAAATTATTTATTTAACAAAAACTCCTTTATTCTCCACAACCCAAGGTGATATCTTTAAATATTCTCTTCAGTTCAAAAGCCAAAGACATTCAATCTACAATCCTATCTGAGAAAAGCAGAAAGTTCTCATATTTGAGAAGCTGGAACCTACAAAATGTTCTGCATTTTGCTGAATAAACAAATTCATCCACTACTTAATTGACTCATCATTTCAGCACTTGGACAATTTCTTGCCAGAAACTGAAATGCGGTGTTTCAGGGTAACTTCGGTAACATTTTTGACTTGGAGCCTATTTCACCATGTTTTTTGTTTTTGTGTCTACGTCTGCTCAACTTCAATACCGGACCAATTAAATAAAAGTGCTGTCCTCGTCAGCCACTTAGAAACAAAAACATGGAAAATACGGGGTTGAAAAGGTTGAAAAATATCTAAATCACCCTCTAAATGCTTCCGCCCATACTTCACATGAAAAAGGAGGAAACAAGGGGGAAATGTGTGAGGCACAGCCTGTTAATTAACACATTAACACATGGAGCCTTTCATACATGTGAGGAGTCAAACTGCCTCTCTTACAGTCTTGGGTAGCTGAGCCTGGCAGAGCGTTCTCCAGTAGCCGCGATCGTCGGCGCCGACCAGCCGAACGTCAGGCCCAGCGGCGGAGCCCAGGATGGGACTGTCGGGGCTCAGGGCCAGGGCCTGGATCCCCCCGAGGCTCTGGTAGTGATGGACGGGCTCTCCACCGGTCTCTGTGCTCCACAGGTCCACACAGCCTGTACCCAAAGACGGTGAACCACAGTCCCTAAGTACCTTAAATAACTGCACTGAGGCAACAAGCTTTCTCAGTCTGATCATTTAAAACTTATTCTGAAGATATAAATATATCTCTGATGTGACGTCACACACACCGTCTTCATAAGCAGCTGCAGCCACTGCTCTGTTGACCTGGACGTGGCTAACAGGAGGCCTGGGGTTAGAGTTCGCTGACAGGCTGTTAATCTTCAGGTAAGAGGCCGTCGAGTCCCAGTGCAGCGTGTCCCACAGCCTCACATCACCAGACGTGTACCTGCAGACACAAACAAGCACATCAGGTCACGCTGAGCGAACATCATTCAAATATTTAGCTCTGCACAAAAAGGCTGGTGAACAGAGCAGAAGAATTAATGCCCATTTCTCCATCACGGGCTGACAAGTTTGTCTCCGTGAGAATACCTGACGTCACCCTCTCACCACTGAATCATTTCCCCTCTCACGCCTTCCTCCTTTACTCACTCGGACTTGTTGTTAGTTTGTTTTCTAAAGTCTTTGTTACATGATCTTTCCAGGATTACAGGGGTGTTGTTTGGGCGGAACAAGGCAGAACATTTCGACCCTTATTAGGGTTGTTTATGGGGGACGCTCTGCAGCAGGAGGTGAAGCGGTGCATTCACTGGAATTAAGTCTGTAGCTTTTAATATGCAGTCATAAAACTTTAAATGTATGAGCCTCTTCATTCCCTTACAAAAGGATTTGAAGCAAAAATTTGACTATTTATATTTTAATATTAATCAGTGCTGCTTTTTATATTAGTGCTGCTTAATTGCTCGATAGTTTGCTTTTTAAAATGTTAAGAGAAAAGTTGAAAAAGCCCATCATAATTTCCTAAAACATTGTGGATAAAGACGCAGCGACCATGAAAAAGCGTCGCCCCAGCGTGCTAATTTATTCGGTTCACTGTCGTGAAGAGTCGAGTCATATTCTCATATTTATTTGCATGATAAATCCTGACAACAACTGACTGATTGTTGACAAATCATTTTCTGTTAATCCACAAACTGATTAATTAATTGTTTCAACAATAGTTGAGATGGTCAAAAAGCAACCGGTTGGTGCTTAAGAGCTGAAACTATCAATTAACCGAGTAGTTGATTGATGATAATCAGAACTGACTGTTTGATTTATATTTCACTTAAAAATTACAACTTTTATTGTTCCGGTTTCTCCAGTGTGGAGGATTTGTTGCTTTTCTCTGTTAGACATCACAGTAAAGTGATTGTGTTTTGTTTTGCACTGTTGGTCGGGCAAATAAAGACATTTGAAGAAGTCCTTTTTTTTTGGTATTTTCTGAAATTTTCTGAATTTAGAAAATAATCAGCCGATAAATCGATGATGAAAATGATGGTTAGTAGCAGCACTAAACTTCAGAAACATTCTCTATTTATATTTGTACGAGCAGTTTGTGTGCCTGAAGCTAAACCAACAGGATTCTCATTAATCCAACCAGTGGCTCACAGTACACAGTGTGGAGGTCAACAGAAGTCTACTCACTGATTGTTAAGTTTGCATCATTTATACAAATGTCTCATAACTTGTGCTAATGATTTACAAATGTTGAATACTACAAGTAGCACAAGTAAAGTCACACAACCCCTTATCCTACTTTTCCCCCTCACACTCCCATCCTCAAGTATCAGCCCCCCCCTTCGCTCTTCAAGTCAATGAGTTCTCACTGTGGGGGACGACAAACTGCCAGCGTTACCACCTCCACAGATACCATCATGTCTGAGCAAGTATCCGCCTCGCAGCCAGAGTGTGTGACACAGTGACAGCAAGTGTGACAGAGGGTGTACGTATGTGTGTGTGTGTGTGTGTGTGTGTGTGTGTGTGTGCGCGCGGCTGGCACCGCGAGGTTTGGCAGGAAGCAAACAATAGGAATACACACTTTGACTTAATTGGTACATCACCTCAACGCCGACTAGCAACAGGATGATGATGCTGAATCTCATCCAAGAAGCACTTCGTCAAAACTTTTAATGCGGCAGAAACTTTAGTGCATGGAAGGATTACTGCGTCCTTCATGCAGGAGCCTCCCCGGGTTCGGCCTCCGTGTCGCCGTGTGACTCCAGGAGTTGCTGGGTTAACGAGACATATTGCCTTTTAAGTGCCAAATCTCATCCCGCCAGTTTTCCCCAATACGATTTTGCGGATGCAATTGAATCACTCGTGATTACTCTTAACTGCTATGGATTTGTTTCTAGTTAAACTAATTTAGGTACTTTCACTTCGATAAATGATCCTTTAGGTACCAATAATGGGAAAAGTATTGATGTTGTGAATTTGTTAATAGACGAGGTACAAGAAGAAGGACTTACGGGAACGTCCACATTTTTTGCAAAGAGGTTAACTTCACGGGACTGTTTTGGTAGAGTGTGTCCTACATCTGCGAACCCGAAGAGACGCAAACAGAAGCGTGTTCTCCGATGGGACCCGGCAGGACTGAGGGGAATCTAATCACACCGCTCCTTGGAGACGCTGCACATCTCCGTGCGGGCAGTCCATCACGCTCCTCTGGGCCGCACAATCTGTCACTGTCCCAGCACAGTGATTTCAGGGCACGTTTGCTTTACACTAACCAACTACTGCCATTAGTAGAGCCAGTAGTAAGACTATATAAATATGTGACAACACGCATCAATGATCTGAAAACTGGATCAATTAAATGCAATCAATAATAACTTCCAGCGGGTCATTTTTGGGGGATGTGGTGGAAGGTTGAACTGTCATTTTATGGTTTCTTCTGTGGATTTAAAATGTTGAAGACTGTTATTAGATCAGTTCATTCCTTACCCGACATTCTTTATTCTTCTTTTTACTTGATGTGTATGAAGATCTGCTTGCAGGCATTAATTGTTATTGTTCTCATTCACAAGATTATTTATTTTAGACTATTTGCAAAAAACCCTTCATCAAAAATTCAGTTTAAAAGGTTGAAACTTGCAAACAGAGTTTTTGCATATTCTTCCATCTTTGTTTAAAAATGCTGTAATGCATCATAACAAGCCATGATCTCACCGACGCATTACACTCCTAAGCCAATAGGGAACACTCTAAGCTCCTAACTGCTCTGCAGCCGACAGCAGGAGGCTGCAGAGAAGGAACAAACATGTTTCCGTAAGTAAACCAAATCAAAGATCTTGTTTGCCCAATTTTGTGACTTTGTCTCTTGATTTTGTGTTGATGTGGTCTGACTTTCTTCAGGTAAAGCCATGTGTTGCTGGCTTGCTATTGCTGCTCACATCAACTACCCAGTTCTTCCTTTTATATTTCAACAATGTCACTTTTACTACTGTTAGAAAATGTAAAATGCATCACTGCCAAGAACGACCTCCCTAACGTAAAACGTTCAATCGGCGCCTCGTGTCTAAATGTGACATATTCTTAATCAAACACCATGAATAAGAAGATTTATACTGACAATGATATGAGAAGATAAAGAGTGACAGAGAAAGCGGATGGATTCAGGATATACGAGCTGTCAAATTTACAGCTGATGTTCGCGAATATCAGGAGTCCTTCAAACTCACCCAGCCAGGACAAAGTTGTCACAGCAGCTGACGTCACAGAGCACCTTCCCCAGCTCGAACTGCAGCTGGCTGATGGATCCCACTCGGTTCTGGACAGAAAACACGGTTACATCCACAGTACAAATACTGACATTTAAAGCCCTGTCTCTAAAAAAAGATCTTTGCCATCATTGCCATGATGTTACAATCCAATTTTGAATGGTGTATATTGTATTATATTCTAAATTCTAATCACAGTTAAAACTGGAGACATACAGTCCACGGTCTACTGGGGATGTATGGTAAATTGTGCACTGATTTCACCAGACAGACTCCAGTGGAGGAGCAGGTGATTCTGCTTCACCTTCCAGTTGGAGCGCACAGCTCTGGCCGAGTTCCTGCAGTCTCGCAGCGTGCTCTTCCAGCAGGGGGAGTCAGACACGCTGGCATCCTGATGGTAGCCCTCCGCCGTGCACATCCTGAACCACAGAACGCCGTCCTCTGCAAGGACTCTCCACGGCCTGCTCACCTGGGGGGAGATCGGGACGGTGAAACGGGGGGGATTGAGTCAGCATGAACTACGAGCTTGCGTCACTTCATTTACTTGTGCTTAACGAGCCCGGCTGACTGCCGAGTGGACTCGGGTCAGCCACACAACGTGTAATTCATTAATCTATACCAGTTAAAGTCACACAAGGGAGTAATGCTGCCCTCAGTGATTCTGCATGTTGGGGGAAGTGTAACTGTGATTTAAGGACTTCACAGCGACAAACTGACATCAGCGAGCTGCATGACAATGTGAAAGGTGGACAGATTATAGTCTACGATTTATGACACAGGACCTCCTGATATTCTGTGTAGGTAAACCTCTTTTATGTGTAAAATGGGAAGAAATTGAAGAATTGTAATGAAAAAAGGAGTGATAGCACATTATAGAAAGCTACTATTGCTGCAATGCTATCATGCATCTCTAACCATAAGGACAAATAAGACATGGTCCCCTCCAAATTAACAAAACGGACTAAATATTGGGGTGTGGCTCCTGTTATTTCACACAGAATAAGGAGAATAAAGCTCAGTCTTGTCTGTTGTTTGTAATGCAAAGGTCTTGCCAAAGGTTTAACCACAGCAGCTTACCTGTGCACATCGGCCCAGCTCGGTACAGTTGAGGTTTTGGAATATCTTCAGGGCTAACTCGTACGGCAACTCAATGTCAAAGAAGGGAATGTCATTGACTTCATTCTGCAAAATAAACAATTAAAACAGATGTTATCTGTCTGTATTTATTTGGTCAACCACCATCATCATCATCATCATCCTCATCCTCATACCAGATCTTGAATGAGTTGATCCAACAGCTCCTCGTCTTTCTTCATCTTTCTCTTCTGCTGCTGCTGCTGCTGTTGTAGGGATGCCCTGCACACGTTGGTCATGTTCTGATACTGCCTCTTTCTCCTGGTTCTCTCCTCCTGAATCCGGTCCAGCAGTGGACCGGTCCTCCCATCCAGTAAACTACGTGCAATAGACACATATTCAGGCTCATCCTCTGGCTCTGCTGCAGCTTCCCCCCCTCTTCCTCCACCACCTTCAACACACGCTCCATCCTCAGTGCTGCCGTCCTCTTCTTGTTTTGAAGGACTACGGGCCTCGTTGAGATTTTCCAAGTTTTCAAAATACTTATTTTTCAAATCTCTCTGGCCCGACTGACTAGGAACATCCAACGAAGGGGTAGGAGCACAAACAAGTAGTTGCTCGTCTTTACTACTCGTTAATTCTTCTTTCCAACACTCCCTGAACGCAGCAAGCTCGTCTTCGGTCATGTTTCTCAATCATTCTTGACAAAATATAACTTTAAAGTGTTATGAAGCGGCGTAGTAGGCATTTGTTAGCTATACAGACCAGGAAAGGGACGGATAGCTCGGTTCCGAAGCATAAACAAGCACATGTCCTTCACTATTAACAGTCCGAAGAGGAACAATGCACTGCTGTACATTAGTTCCGCTTGTTTTTAATTCCGCAGTTTTATTATACAGGCGGCAATTCTCAAGTGTGATATGTGTTTTTACTGATAATTGTTCTGATTATAAATGCAATAATTTCACATGTAATGCCACTGGGGTGGTCATAAATAATACAAACTGCATATTTTACAGTTAAATTATAACAAAAGGGAACACAATTACCCTACAACAAAAGACTCCTCAGATCAAACCAGACAGGGGAGATTCAAGAGTTAACCATTGCATCTCTCTTTTGGGAAAAGATGATGTAAACCCCACACCATGTGACACTGTAATGAATAATACAGTAGAGAGAGGGGGGAGAGAGAGAAAGGGGGGGAACGCAAACACAGTTAAGGTTTGATGAGAGAAGAGAAGGGGTGTCATATATCCTCAAGACTTCAAGAGAAAAGACTGGTTGTGCTCTCAGAGAAAGATGTGCTGGCTACCGATTGACCAGCCATTGCTCCTGCCCGGTGACTCCACCTGCAGTGGCTACCGACCCTCTCCGTGCTCGGTGGCTCAGTTGCTCGCGTCTCGCCTGCGGAGGATCGGGGACCAGCTGGAGAAAAGCTGGACGGCCGGGGAGACGGAGAGCGGCTTCGGCTGCGGGGGCAGAGGGACGGTGGTGGTGGTGGTGACCGGGCGAGGCCACCTCAAGAGAATCCTGAGCACTGCAATACACTTGACCGTGCTCGTGCTGGTCGTCGCGAGGCGACACCTGTAGGGCACCACTACGACACCAGCAACAGGTGCGTAAACAGAGTCGCGTCACCTGCGTGTTTGATTTGAGTAAAGTACGATCACAAACCTCGAGCTTACATTGTTACAGTTGTTGGAATGGTAAACCTGGTGTAAGGTCCATTGTGTAAATATAATTAAAAAAACATAACTATGACCTCATGGAAAAAAACAGCTTAGGTATGAATACGAATCTGTTTTATTTTCTGTAAAAAGGTGAATGTATGTAGAAATATATACGCAAAAAGAGTTGTGTTAAAAATGTCTTTGTCTGCTTAATACAAAGTAAATTGCAGACTACAGGTGTGCTGCTTCAGACAGAAGTTTTCTCTTCGTTTGTAGGTTGAGAAAACGTCTACTTCTTTAAGTACATTGGTCTTTCAGACTATTGGATGCAATGAACAAAAATGTATTTATTTATGTTTTAGTTTCGCAATGTTTCCACGGTAAACTTCATAGTTATCAGGGGGAAAAGACAAACAACATAAAACTTAATCTAGCATAACATGAAACACAACTTCTACAATTCATGTAGTTATTTACCAATGTTTTGACAACAAAACATGTACTTTTGATTGTTTACATTTTACAATAATCACGCATACGTAATTCAATTGTATGTTAAATGTAACGCCAAACAAAAAATGTGCAGGCTTGTTTTCCACACAACGCGCGGGCAAACTAATTCTGAATGGCTTTAATTCGCATTTAAATAATTCGTTTGAAGTGGAATAGTAAATGTTTTGAATTGGCAAGTGGATTTGTTTTGTCTTTAATATGCTGTATGCCTTAAAGCGTCCTAATTTTGTATCTACTTTTGACAAGTTGGCCAGGTTTCTGTTGGTAAAGGGTATCGCATCTTCCTGGTTTTAAAGATGGAAATAAAGACTTAGCGAGGTAGATTCAACAACGACTGTCTTACCTTTAAAAACGTGTATTCTATGTGTGTTTATGCTAATTAAGTTGATATGATATATGTTCCATAGATGGTGCCTTTAGGACCATGCACGAGGAGAGGGCTCACATCATTTGCACTAAAATCGAGGGATGCAGGAGAGTCGGAGGATGCGGTCCATGGTTGGAAAGTGTGCAGCGAGTCCGACAGAGGAAGAAGAGGAGGAGGAGGAGGAAGCGGATTTAAATGAGCGTTTCAGGGTCGTAACTTTGAGTCTGACTAAACTCTATATGTCATGAAGACTTCCTCAGGCCCGATGCAAATGCACTGAGAGTTTCATAACGAGCTAACTGAACCCCAGCAGCCCTGCAGTCAGCCGGCTGCACGTCCTCCCCCCTTTGCGTCTCTCATCCCAGTTACAAAAACGGTGATGTAATCCTCCCCTGGTACAGTGGAGGGAAAAGCTTACGTATAGGACTCCTTTGAATTTCCACCTCCCACCACGTGAGTGCATTCAAGGCAGAGGGGCTAGACTTGATGTTACCTTTAAATGTATAAGCCTACAATTAGTGCAGCAGTCCTGAAAAAAAAAGAAATGCACTGAAATAGACCAGTTTGTGAGCTTCATAATGCACTGTACCTTTTTACATAAGCTATACTGTAAGTGTAAACATGTGAATACCGAGAGGATGGATGTTTTTTATAGATGTTTTCTACAGTGTTTAGATGATGTTTACACATTCTCCTGTGCTTTAGCATTATCTGTTGGGGGCAGTGTTAAGCGGCTTTTCGTCAGATACTGGACCTGCGCATCGGAAGTTATGCTGTCAATGCTGTCTGTGATTTCTGGAAATAAGCTTTTTCTCTGATATATCAAGTGTAATGTGAGCAGAATTACTGAAACTGTCTTTTATAAAAGTCTGTGCTATTTATACTTTATTAAATATTTCATATGGATTTTTAGTCGGTAAAGTAATAAAAAACTTTCTGAAATAAATTCTCTGCAGGTGTCTTTACAATGAGACAAGAAATACGCTTGGCAAAATGAGCTCAAAGTGCTTTAATTTCAAACTGAAGACCACACTTGCAATGCACTCTGCATTTAGTGTCTATTATGCAACTCAAGAATGACTATTCTAAAGGAAGTGACTCATATCAACAATATTCATATGGAATAACAATGAAATGATGATTGTAACATGGAAGCTTATCAGACATGAGCTCCCACTCAATGAAAAAGAAATGCAAAGTGACATCCCACTGACTTCAGCATCTGCACCACACTTAATAAGAATCTATAAAATGCTGACTACGGTGCCTTGCTGACACACACCACTAGACGATCATTACTCAATATCTAAATATCTTACCGCTTACCAAGAACCTTTTGTTACTTACAGACCTACTGATTTTCTTCTTCTCTTCGTTCTGAGACATTTTGATGTGTTCAAAGTCTTTCAAAATAAATATCGCAAAACCTTCAAACTAAATACCAAATAGAAATGTTATTAATTATAAAATATACAAAAGAAATGTGCCACATTTACCACAAATTGAGTGAGACTATTTACATTACCACCACACTATAAATCAAAGGAACATTCTTAATCGTGTGTCGAGTGTAAAATAAAATGCTGTTTAACATTTGACAATATTGGCTTATTCTACATGCACACAAAAAGGTGACTGATGTCATAACAATATGACAATGGCACAATTGTAAAAAGGTTTAAGTTTCTTTTAAGTGATACCATGTTGATAAATTGGTTTGTGCACGTGGCCTCTACCACAAATGTGCTCAACTTGTCTGCACTGAAAATAATGTGATCAACAAATCTTTCTGCTCTGGGGTCTCATTTATAACCGTGGCGTACGCATAAAAAGGGGCCTGAAAGAGGTGAACTTCACTTCCCACGCAGAAGTTGTGATCTATAAAAACAAACTTGATGGGAGAATGTGTGCACCTGTACAGAAACGCTGACCCACAAACATTTTGGAGATACAGGGGAAACTGACGACGTAGATGGTGAGGTGGTGATTTGAAACCGGACTGTAGATATTAAATGCGAGAGGCATCATTATACGTATAATGATTTCACTTCATATCACACGTTACTTTGCAGAACAGAGCATCAACAGTTTAATAAT